CACAAATATATATGTGGAATACATATATAATATACATATACATATATATTTGTATGTGGAATATTCATATGTATAATAAAGTGATAGATAACAAGGAAGTTCTTAACAAAAAAACAGAACAGTAGTTATCCCATAGGAGAGGGAAGAGAATGTAATAATAAAGGCAAACACAAAGCTTCCAGATCGCTACAAATATTTTACTGCTTAGGCTGGGGGCTGGGTACTGAGCCTCTTGGCTGTAATTTAAACCAAACCAATAAATTTTACATATTTTTATGAGTATTTCTATTTCAGCAAAATCTATGTACATGGATATATTTATACTAGAGAGAAAAATGAACCTACGGTATTTGCGCCAGAGACAGCCCCTGATGTATTGAGCTCTGGGTCAGTCTACACCATGTTTCCCTGCACGACCCGCTGCAAAGTAAAACTGCCTCAAGCATGTCAGTGGCTCATCCTCGGGCACTTACCCTAGTGACTGTGGATGTTACAATTTTTATTTCTGGATAACCCCTCCTCACATTCTTGTTCACGGTGTTACTGTTGCAACAGCAGAAGGACCAGGTAGTGTGAGGACCATTTTTACCAACAACAGGTCTAGCGGGTAGGATAGGAGAGGGACGCCTACTTCAGACATGCCAGGGGAATCAAGATTGCTTGGCGCTGCCGCTCAAGAGAGTCCATGAATGCCTTTAAATTTGTAAGTGAACAGACACTGGTTGGAAGCTGACCCCCTGTTGCTGCCTGGGTGTAGATAGCAGCAGCACGGAGGCGATCTGAGTAGCCTGAAAGGCAAGAGGTTAAGACGACAGGGCAAAATCTGAGAGCCCAGGGCAGCAGAGGCAGCCTGGGCACCGGAGGTGGCTCCAGGGGCAATTTAAATGATGAAGTGATAGGCACAAAATGCAGTGGGAACTCAGAGGACAGGGCAATTCATCATCGCCAAGCTTATCTTCTGACAAAGAGTAGGACTCGGCTTCCAGCTGTAGCATTCAAATGTAATGTTCCCCCTGGGACTCAGCATGGCAGGCTTCCCTGAAGCTTCAGTTTCACTCAGTTAACTAATTATGAGAGAATGTGACATTGGTATTTACTTTTTCTACAGGGACAAATCATTCCCAGCAGGAGGGAGAAGTTGTTATTTTTGGTCTGTTTTGGTTTGTCATTAAAAAGAAATTACTCACACGGTAGTAAATAAACTCTTGTTAGAGGGAAATGTTTTTCTTTCTATAATTCTATCAATTCACCTGAATGGTGACACTCATTTCTTTTGTTCTCTGGGGACATGGTGAGCAAATGAACGAGAGCTGAGTGTTTAGACTAGGTTTGAAAATTAACACTACCACTAGCTAGCTGTGTGATCGTCAGCAAGTTATGTAAGTGCTCTTGAGTTTCCTCCCCTAAAAACTGAGAACACATTTACTGTGTCCTGTGGTTTGTTACAGATGAAATGAAGTGACGTGGCTGAAACACTTTAGCAGAGTGTTTCTGCCTAAGAAGCACTCAATAGATTTCAGCCTTTATTCTTAATAACTCTGATATTCTGATGCAATTAGAAACATTCTACACTTCATTTATGCTTTATATCAATTCCTCAAATCTACTGACCCCGCATCTAATCAGAAATTGTCCTTTTACTTTGTCACTGCAAGCTAAATTGTGTATTTCTTTTTACTCCTCCTCACGTAGACATAAAAAGTTTCCAGTGAAATTTAATATTTAATGATAAAGTTGAAAGAAACATTTCTCACACGCCCTCTCATTCCCAGCACATCTTTTAACTTGTCAAAGGCAGGGCATAATGCGGAGCAAACATCATAGTAAACACATATTTCCCCATCCACTGCGGACAACAACAGCATTATGTCAGGGCTGCTGTTCGCAAGTGGGAAAGTGACTTCACAGACAATTTCACAACTGAACTCATAACAATCCCATGAGGAAGGTAGGCAAGGTAGATACGAACAGCCTTACTTTATGGCTGAGAAAACTGAAACTAAGACAGAAAATGACAAAGCCACGCTAACCAAGCACATTTTCTGTAAAAGAGTAATAATCTGAGGGGATTGAGAAGGTCAGGGCTACTGGACTCTGGAAAATGAGATTTTCTCAAGAACAAAGTCCGTTTTGGGGATGCCCAAAGGGACCAGTCAGAGCGAGGGACCAGATCACTGGCGGAAAGCAAACAAAATAGAAAAGCAAGAGGCATTGTGTTCTATTCCGATTTCATGATCCGATTGCCGATGTGCCTTGATGTTTCTACCCATAACTTTGAGAAAGTAAAATTACTATTTCTTACTTCTCTTCTAAGTATATTGCAGTGTTATTATTATTCACAAACACAGATTGATGACATGATTTTTAATGTTTTATGCAAACCACAGCAAACATGAACACTTAAAAACATAAGAAAACACATTTTAGGTACTAGTAGAAAATCTTGGTGATAAACAAAAAGAGTATTTTTCCATGGATACATGGGCCAGAAGATGAAAATCAGATGAGATTAGTTACATCATCATTGTAAGTTTATATTACATATTTGAATCACTTTTGGAAGTTGCAGAATCAAACTAAGAGGCATGACATGTAGTAAATGTTTTGAAACCATGAGGATGGAAAAACCCTAAGATTGGATAATGTTTCTTTAACTGCTCACAATCACCCATTTTCAAAATAAGATTTTGAAGTGCTGTTAATACTGAACAAGACTTCCTGGTAGTCATCACCTTTCAGGGCTCCCCAGGATATGGGCCGTGCTCACTGATAGCTCATAATCTGTAAGAATTCCCAGTGGACTATGGACTATAGAAATGGAATTTGAAAGTCCCACTCCCTTTTATTCTGGAATAGGGAATAAGTTCTTATACAGAGAAGAGGGCAAATGCAAACAAAGTTCATTACAGTAAACCCTAGTTCAAAAAGTAAATACTGAACATAAGTTTCTGGTTTATCATATGAACCTGAAATCCAAGGACTCCTAAATATGCAACTAAAAAAACCCAGTCATACCAACACTGATGGACAAAATAGCATACAACAGTAGGTCATACTTGACTTAATAGTCATTAAGGTCGATACTTGGCTTAATAGGCCTGAACATAACTGCCCTATGATTTTTCATAAAACATGACACAACTTCATTCCAATACAGGGAGAGACTTATGATATGGCAGAACAGGTCTGCTTAAAAACTTCCCCCTCTCTCATCAGTATCTTCAATTAATAAACATCTTTTGAATGTTTGCTATTTATTGGGATCTTTATCAAAGAACCCACTGCCTAGCAGGGAAGACAGGTAAATCAAGCATCAAATTTTCCAGTCAAATTCTAGCATAAAGAAAAACGTGCATTGCAAATGTTAAGCAGGGCAGAAAGCTCTCATGGAGGATGGATGATTGACAAGTATAAACCGTCTTTGACAAAAAGGAGGACGGACTTTGGTCAGAACAGTCTGGATAAAAGTGGGAAACATGATAATTATGGTGAGTTTGAGAAATTATACATAGTACCACATGGCTAGAGCATAGAGAGAAGGGAAAAGATGCCCAAAGAAAGAATAAGCAGGAGAGGAAGACAGATACCATCATTTAGGACTTTCTAGTTCATGTTTAAGTTTAGTATTGGAAAGAATACAACTATTGGTCTATTGAAAAGATTTCATCCCACAGGCAATGGGAGTAGATTTTTGCCCTTATCAGTTTTGGTGATAGGCAGTTAAAAAGTGAAATAAGAGAAGGAATTCTAGAGGAATGGCTATTAGTTAGAAGACAGTTTGAAAGGTCCAAGTAAGACATGGAGAGACCCTACCCAAAAGGAATGGGAATAAAAAAGAAAACAGAGAAAAAGTAGTATAAAAAATAGGGTTGGCAGAATTTAGTGACCAGGTAGAAAAGAGAGGGTGAAGAGGAAAACTTAAAATATGTCCTTTATTTTTTAACTTGATTGCCTAAATAAACAATGGTGCCTCAGCTGAATTAGGGAGAGCATGAAGTAGAACATCCATGGTACTCTTACAGTCCTGGTTTATTCCTCTTTTATAAGATGAATTGCATTTTGTTTTGTATAGCAGTAGGCATGTGGCATTCCACCAACTCCAGCCCCAAAAACATCCTTGAGGGAGAAAGCTGTGTGTCACGCATCATCTTGTCCCTGCCTGTACAGCATACCTATATAACATGATCATATAACTGACCCACTGTAAACACTTAATAAACATTTTTGACTGACTGATTGAATACACACACAACTTCAAAGCCTAGCTGAGACAAAACTATACATATTCTCCTTTGAATAAGACAGTTGTCTCTTAAAATGTAAATAACTCATCTTAACTTGTAACAACTCATACAACCACCACTCAGCCTCATATCAGACTCATGACATCCTCCACACATCTCAGTGTCCCATTTGGAAGGGACTTTAGGAAATATCTACTACAACCCCCATTTTAAAGGTGAAATCTGTGACTCAGAGAAGTCACACGACTAGCCCAAAGTCACAAAAAGTACAGTTGACCCTTGAACAACATGAGTTTGACCTGCTCAGGTCCACTTGTTTGAGGAATTATTTTCAATAGTAAAAACTACAGCACTACAGGAATCACAGCTGGTTGAATTCAAGAAAATGGAGAGATCACAGATACGAAGGGCCAACTCTAAGTAACACACACATTTCTGACTGTGTGGAGGATTGGTGCTCCTAATCTCCGCATGGGTCAAGGGTTAACTATATCCGGAGATGGGACAGAAATCAGAATACATTAAACTTTGCAATATTTGTCAAACAAAAATTTGTAACAGATCTGAAGATAGTACAAGATACCAAATTTAGCTAGGGTGAATTAAGCTTTTAAAAGCACTTCATAATTGGCACTTAAAAAAACACAAGACAAACATCTTAAAGACATTTTCTTAAATGATTCTGCTGACAATGAAATGCAAGGGCCATAGCTCAACTTTCACCTTTGAATTAGTATAAGTAAGACAGATTCTTACCGTGATCTTCTGAAGAGACTGGTGACCTAAAATGAGACAATAAGCATGATAAATCTTTTGCAAGTGATACTGATAATTCTAAGTACAATGATCAAGAATAATCTTGTAGAAATTACACCACGAAAATTCAGTTAAACAGAAATTCAATACAGTAGATAGTATAATTAATGCGTTGGTTGTATGGTATATTCCAGTGAGTAACTCCCAAAGCTTACCTGGATTAGTTAAGTGGTAGATGTTACTAAAAGAGTCTATTAGTGGGACCTCCCTGGTGGTTTGGCGGTTAAGAACCCACCTGGTAATGCAGTAGACATGAGTTTGATCCCTGATCTGGGGAGATCCCACATGCCACAGAGCAACTGAGTCTGCACACTGCAACTACTGAAGCCTGCATGCCCAGAGCCTGTGTCCTGCAACAAAGGACGCCACCACGATGGGAAACCCATGAACTGCGACTACGGAAAGTCCTCGCGCATCAGTGAAGACCCAGAGCAGCCAAACATACAGAAATAAATAAAACTAAAAAAATGGCCTGTCAGCATGGTGATGTAAGACTGAAAGAAACTTAGTAAAACTGTCTGAATTTATCACACACAAAAAAAGAACTCATAGAAATGTGATGATGGAAAAAATCCTTGCGATGTCACTGGTGCCCAAGGCCAGCTCTCCAGAGAAAATGCCAGGGATGTGAATAAGCCCTGGATTACGTGTCTATCGGTAAAAAGAAATCTACTTGGACAATAAAAAATGAAACCAAAGTAAAAAGCAATGATGTTCCCTAATCATTACTGGTTTTTGCTTCCACTCTTTGTGGAATTTAATGTTTGAGTGACATGACATACACACTTTGTATGCTGGCTTTATGTTTCTAAACCTGTCAGAAGCAGGATTAGACAAGAGGGCAACCACTGGGGTCCCACAGAACTTTTACAAGTCGGTGACTTTTACTTATCATTTGAGGCTCAGGTCTAATTACAATGTTAAGATACCAATGGATGGGACTTCCCTGGTGATCCAGTTATTAAGACTCCTTGATTCCAATGCAGGGGGTGTGGGCACCAACTCTGGTCAGGGAACTAAGATCCCACATGCCACAGAGCATGGCCAAAAAACAAAAATAAAGTAACATTAACGAGAATAAAGATGCCAAAAGATACCAATGGATAACGCATCAACTCCTTTCACAATAAAAACCTTGTTTTCTTTCTCAGCTGACTACTAATGGAGTTACTTGGGGCAATACAGACACAACCTTGTGGATGAATTCCTGTCAAGCTTGAAAGATGCTGTCTTGACTACCAACTCATGCTTTACTTGGGAGAAAGATATGTATAATACTGTCTTCAGAGATGTTGGAAGTTTGAAGCGAGAGGTGAGAAACCAGGAGGGAGGGGTCCTCTCCCATATATGATGGGCCTGCTAGAGCCCATAGCAGGGAGATGACCAAAGGCTAATGTGTGAGTTTGGTAATAAAGCTACCAAACTTAAATAACTAATATTTATATGAAGCTATAATACAACTAAACCTAGACAGCACATTAAAAAGCGGAAACATCACTTTGCCAACAGAGGTCTATACAGTCAAAGCTACGGTTTTTCCAGTAGTCATGTACAGATGTGAGAGTTGGACTGAGCATCAAAGAACTGTGGTGCTTTCGAACTGTGGTGCCGGAGAAGACTCTGGAGAGTCCTTTGGACAGCAAGGAGATCAAACCAGTCAATCATAAAGAAAATCAACCCTAAATATTCATTGCAAGGTTGATAATGAAGCTCCAATACTTTGCCCACCTGATGCGAAGAGCCAACTCATTGGAAAAAACTCTGATGCTGGTAAAGATTGAGGGCAAGAGGAGAAAGGGGTGACAGAGGATGAGCTGGTTGGATGGCATCAGCGACTCAGTGGACATGAGTTTGAGCAAACTCCGGGAGACAGTGAAAGACAGGGAAGCCTGGCATGCTGCAGTCCATGTAGTTTCAAAGCATCAGACATGACTTAGTGACTGAACAACAATAACAATATAATGTTTATGAGACAGGACGCAAAGATTGAGGCAAGAATGATTCAATTGGGACATAGTGGTTGAAGGACAATTTTAGCTACCTTGGGATGCCCAGTACCATTTTACTTTATCTACTGATCAGAAATATTTTTGTCCATTATGTAAACAAACAGTACAGTATACAGACACAGGAGTAATGGTGAGACAGCCTTAACTTTCACTGGGTGGCAAAGTGTGAAATTATTTCAACCTCAGCGGTCTCTTCAAGTAGACATTTGCATTGAAGGCTACAGAGGGTCCCAAGGTCTGGTGGAGAGAAAGTTGGCACCTGGGAGGCAGACACAGGGAGAGATCCTCCCACCACACTAAATCATCTCTGTGGCATCTGCTTGAGATGCCGCTGGGCCTCCCCGGGTGGAGCTGACCTGTCGTCTCCCGAGGTCCCCCTGTTTCATACCTTCACACCCCAGCCTCCTCACTAAGCTGTGTGGCGGTGGTGGTGCAGTCACTCAGTCGTGTCCGACTCTTTGCAACCTCAGTGACTGCCGCCCACCAGGCTCCTCTGTCCATGGGATTTCCCAGGCAAGAGTACTGGAGTGGGGTGCAACTTCCTTCCCCAGGAAGGAGATCCCTTCTTCCCGACCCAGGGACTGAATCTGCATCTCCTGCTTGGCAGGCACATTCTTTACCCCTGAGCCATCAGGGGAGCCCCACTAGGCTGTGAGCTCCTTGGAAACTAGGACCATGTCTTATTTAGAGCACAGAGGATCCCTGATTAAAATGTATTAAACTACATTAATTTCAGCACCATACACTAGAGTTTGGACTCAGACACATTCTGGAACTCCTCAAAAATCATATCACCTTCAAACTACCTTCAAGTCTGCCAGCTCCTAGGTCAGCTAGGAAGGAAGGATCCAGGGAGTGATCTGAAGCTCCAAATTAGTGACAATGTGAGCACTCTCCAGGCTCCACCCCCACCCCAGACATGCCCACCATCCAATAAAGGACGAGAGGGGCCTGAACAAAGGGCAACAGGACGGACATGTACACACCACTGTATTTAAAACATGACCAACAAGGACCTACTGTATAACGCAGGGGACTCTGCCCAATATTCTGTATGAACCTAAATGGGAAAGGAATTTGAGAAAGAACTGACGTATGTGTATGTATATCAATCACTTTGCTGCACTCCTGAAACCAACACAACATCATTAATCAACACCACTCCGGCACAAAATAAAAATTAAAAAGGAAAAAAGAAACTGGAGAATTTTTTAAGCTGTCCAGGACATAAAAAAGAGCTAGTAACAAGGAAACATCTTCATCCCTGGTGTTTTCTGATGAGAAGTAAGCAAAAGCCTGTATTGGATGGTTCACAATTAATTTCTCACCGAGTTATAGGGATAAAGGAAAATCCATGCTGATGGACGGACCACTAGATGTCTCAGGTGGAAGATCCGGGAGGAAGGGTTTTTGCTGCCTTTCTGTAGAAGCAAACCACTAATATTAAACCTGAAAAATTCCAGATGGCTCCACGAGAGCCCCAGGGGGATGCCTTCTGCGGTATGTCCAGGCAGCGGGGAAGAACGATCGATTTCAGACTGTTTTCTAAGGATTAGTCATGTTGAGTTTCTGTGTGGAATGTCTCCCACACGCCTAGGTTTGTGGAATTTTAAGACATATGGAGTATTTCAATCCTCACTCAGTATTTCACCTTTCACCGGAGCGAGTCACTAAATTATTCCACTGAGACAGGCACATCATCCATTATTGCTGGAAATGGGCATAAAAAGTTTTATGGAACTTAGCTCAGGAGAGAAGAAATACCATGAAATCAGCAGTATACACAGTTATTTTTAAAACAGAGAGGTTGAATCCCAGGAAGAGATAACCTTCCTTAACCTGACAACACAGGAAGGCAAGAAAGCTCACTGCTTTTCCTCCAGTTGCACCTGAGAGACTTGCAGTTTTGTCCCAGCCTACTCATTTCTCCTCCACATACACTTTATCCCGGAGAAAGCACTCTAGTATTCTTGCCTGAGAAATCCCATGGACAGAGAAGCCTGGTGGGCTATGGTCAACAGGGTCACAAAAGAGTCAGATATGACTTAGTGACTGAACAACAACAGGATCTTTATACTTGATTTTGTTTGTTTTGGTATTATTTCACATATTTGTTTACATTCCATTCAAATCCAGCAAAGACAGTGAAAACAGAAATTCAAGTCCAGCATTTAAAACTCTTTCACCTACTTTATTAACCCGGAATAATGATTATTCAGATCTGAATCTTTCCATTTATGATGATTTGAACCTGAATAATAACTGTTGTTACTTGAGACCCTCTTAAGCACCAGGCCCTAAAAGTGATGTAGATTGAAAAAGAAATAAGACATCAATTTCAAGGAACACATAATCTAGTGTAGGAGGAAAATATCAAACGATGATAATGAAAAAAATGCAATCATCAAAACTTGCATGAGTAAAGAGCACAGAAGAAAGGAAGACCAATGCTCTTTCAAAAAAGTAAAAGAAGGCTTCAAAACTCAAGAACTGTCTGAGCTGGGCTTTTTTTGTTTTTAGTTGGCATATAATTGCCTTAAAATTGTGTGCTGGTTTCTGCTGTACAATGAAATAATCAGCTTAAACATACATACATACCTTGCCTCTTAAGCCTCCCTCCACCCCTCACCCCACCCCCACAGTTCATCACAGAGCACTGCGCTGAGCTCCCGGTGCAATACAGCAGATTCCTGAGGCCTATCTGTTTTACATACGGTAATGCATACATAGTGCCAGCAGACTTGGAAAACTCAGCAGTGGCCACAGGACTGGAAACGGTCAGTTCTCATTCCAATCCCAAAGAAAGGCAATGCCAAAGAATGCTCAAAATACTGCACAATTGCATTCATCTCACACACTAGTAAAGCAATACTCAAAATTCTCCAAGCCAGGCTTCAACAATACGTGAACTGTGAACTTCCAGATGTTCACATGGATTTAGAAAAGGCAGAACCAGA